TCAGGACATTAACGCTTTTCTATGTCCTAATCTCGAGAAGCTAATTGTCAAAAATTGTGGATACTGGAATTGTAACTTGTAACCCTTCAGAACGAAAAATCAGAAACGTCGAGTCGTTATGCAATATGCTTCAAAAGAGATGCCATGCACTCGGCCGGGTTGGGACGATCGAATGCTACTCGGCATACTATCCTTCAAGTTTCGACGGAGAGCCCGTCTATACTCCTGAAAACCGATTCTACGATATTCCGTTCGTCGACATTGGTTGCGCGGGGATGCGAGAGACCCTCGCGAACCAAGCCCGGTTGGACATTCGATTCGAGAAGCTGCTTGCTATTGAGGTTTAGCCTGTGTGTAAATAAAAACTGCTTATTCCTCTCCGTAGGTAGTCTGCCTCTCCAATAAACACAGGTCAATATCCATAACCTACAGTATCTTTGCGTCAAACGCTTCCACTAGCCCGTCCAATATTATGAATAATCTGCTAACTCTTGTCTAACATGTACTACAGCACGACAAAACTGTCACGGGGCACATTTCCAATGGTCTTCAATGCACATTGGCAGGACCATCGCATCTGCTTGCGTGGCCCCATAAAATGCGGTTCTTCCTCTTTTTATAGAGCGTTGTGTGTGACCTGGAAGTGGCCATGGCTGCTATAAATTGTCGCACCTCTAGCTCAAACGTTACAACTTATTCCCCAACAGTGATCCAATACGCCATCCTAAGCAGTTGAACCACCTATCTTCATTCGGCAAGTGCCCCCTCGTCATTTTGATTTATACCCATGTCTAACAAGAAACGCAGACAGACTTCATTGACGAATGTCTTCCTCCCGTGATTCACCAGAGGTTCACCATTCTGGACAACCGGGGAACACATCTACAACCGCCGGTCTACCGGATGAGATCCTTTGCGACATTTTCAAGCGTGTCCTACAAATGTCGCGGAGGGATGTGCCGTTTGAGGAGTCTATTGGGTACCCGTGGTTGGTGGATAGTGACTATCCCAAGGACGTTCCGCCTGAAGAATCCATGTTAGCGCCATTGCGACTCAGCCAAGTTTGCAGGTTATGGCGCAGCCTTGCTCTGTCATTTCCGTCCCTATGGACCGAAATTACCGTTCTCATATACAAATTCGACAGTGCACGAAGGGATGAATGGTTTTCAGATGCAGTCGACACCTGGATCGAGAGATCCAGAATATCTCCGCTTTCCCTTAGGGTTGAGTGCGATACTTCCTGCTTGACTGAGCGGGGTTATCTGCACAACGAGGTTGATTATGAAGCATCTGACGACCCGGGGCCCAAATTGGAGATTACGGCGCATATTCTAGAAAAATTGCTTGACCACCAGAACCGATGGAGAGACGCTTCCTTTACCTTCATTGGACCCGATCCTAAAATTCTACCGCAACTTGGCCTTGTTGATGCCCCACTCTTGGAATCGCTCTACATTTACTGGGGCGGGTTCACCCAGCGTCATGACATGACGCAAATCGACCTTGACATTTCGTGTTCTCCGAGACTGAGCAACCTACACGTCAGAAGCATTCCTCGCGTTATAACCGGGGGAGTTTCGAGTCTGAGAGAGTTGACTCTGGACAGCTGGGAGGCGCCCGTAAGCAGAGACTTCGACATACAGCAATCGGTTCTCCTAGAAATAATCCAAGACATGCCAAACTTGGAAGTTCTTGACATTGGTGCCCTGCACTGCATATCTGACTCTGGGATATATAACTCTCGCATCACTTTGCCTAAACTGCACACACTCGCAGTTCAAGGTGATGATTATTCTACATCCATCGTCAGCCAGTTGATCCTACCAGGACTGAAACGCTTGACTTGGAAGCATTGCCTGCAAGACGGCGACGTCAACGTGTATTCGGATATGCTGGGACGGTCCCGGGCTTCCCTGGAGTATTTCGAGTTCCGCTGGACTGCCGTGGTTGAAAGCGTATTTGCCCCTTTTCTGCGGCTCATCCCGAGCCTGAAAACGATTTGTATGGAATACGTCGCGCTCACGTACGATCTCTTCGAGATGCTATCCGTCAAGGAGTCAGGCGAGTCTCGGGACGCTAGTTCCATTATATGTCCCAATCTCGAGGAACTTATCATCGTAAATAATGTATATCTTGGTATTACGTGGCCTGATGGATGGGAAAAAATACGCATGGAATCGGTACGCGATATGCTTCAGAAGAGATGCCACGCGCTCGGCTGCACCGGGACAATCGTTCTCCACACGTTTGGTCCTACGCCTATCAATCAAGATCCAGTCTATATTTCACTGGGTATGGGATTGGACATTCTATTCAAGAAGCCGCTGCCAATCGAGAATTAATTTGTACGTGAAAACCCGCATTTTTCTCTCCATAAGTAGTCTGTCCGTCACACAGTTCTTCAACGAATACATGTATATGTCATCCAAACTCTACAACTCATGCGTCGAACATTTCCCTGTCCCGTCCAATATTATAAATAACCTGCTCTGATTTGTATTTAGCACCACAAAATTATCATGGAGCGTGTTTCCATTGGCCCGGAATACGCAATGGCAGAATTGGTGAATTTCGACTTTGAATGATATTGAAGGAAAGTGAAATGGTCACTGGTGATCAGGCTTCTGACTGACTAAGCCGGGGTTGTCCTGTTCATCCGGCAAACTCCGAGAATGCGTAGCTGCTCTTCATCTCGATTACTCTCTTACAATATGTCCATTCAAATGTGAGTACACACATCAGTATACAATTTGTTTGCAGGCAATATCGAAATTCAACCGTTTCAGAGAGTTTTGTTCTACATGGGGCACAATGGGCATTTGTTGTGTCGTCGAGCTGGTTGTTCGCAGCACCTCGAATCGTCATCACTACGCGTGATTTTCTCAGTTCGAGGATGTGACTACATTACCGTTGCAAATGTTTCCATGAAAACGAAACACTAAACGTACTGCATACCCATGTACAGCATACCCGGCAAACGGTTTTTGTCACGGTGTATACGTCACCATCTCTCGTCCTCTCTGCAGTTACTAGGAACACCGTGTGGCTGATTTGATCGCATTGATGGATGGGTTTCGGCTTACAGCAACCATTATCGCTTTCTTCAATAATACTATGCTTCCGAGGAGAGAGATGGAAGGTAAAGAACATCTTTGTTGGCATCGAAGAGCATCGTTGGTCGAACGGCGAGAACAAGCCATATACCGTATCCAGATTCTTTTCTTGTTGCTCCGGAAGGCATCAATGAAGATCAGTCACCTTTTCTGACCGGAACTTCAGTCCACCCTACGATCATCGTATTTGACCTCAAGCTCGAACACCATAGACGTCGGATTGAAAAGTCACCGTCACCGCGAAACAAGGACTTTCGCGGTTTACACGGGGATGTCCTGATGAAAGTTCTTCAGAAGAGTTACCATTGCCATGGACCAAGATTACAGGGCTCATCATCAGTGGTGTCACTCTCTTGGCCCATATGCGTATTCTTAGGCGCCCCTTCCGGCTGCGCAAGTTCCGTGCCTTGACTGTTCTCAGTCCTGACCTGTGTATACTGTACTGTGCACATCCACTCTGAGGTCACCGAAGGGTCACGAGTCGATCGATTCCCGTCCTCTCGTGATCTCTGTAGTTAGCGCAGTTGATCCGGTATGGATGCAGTTCCCGCGTTTTCTTACCGCAGGTTCGCATAGTATGCGATATTTCAAAAGCATATGCTATTTCGTCGATTCGCAGTTTGGTTGCTGAGTTCCAAGTATACACGCGCTAGCGAAACACTTCAATCGCTGAAATGGACACAATTACATCGGATTGCGTTCATCATCATCCAGGGTGAAGATCTCATGATGGTTTCTCTTGGTGGAGTGCCTAAGACAAGCTGAATTGACCTTATGCTCTCTTTGGTCAGTTGGTAACGGGGTTTTCTGCACACGTCAGCAGATACAGATCTCTGGTATGTAGTATAAAAGGTGAGCTACCGCTGTTTCTTGAAAGTAAGCTTGTTCGTTAGCTCATTTCCTTGCTTATTCTTCCTTCACAGTCCTTGGGCCTGGTGCTCTTTCTCTTCGCATTCTTTACTGTGTTACATTGCTTGTTCATTCATACTCTCCTTACGCCATGTTCCACTTCAAGACCCTCCTTGCTTTCGTTCTTGCTGCAACCGCTGTCTCTGCGGTCCCACTCCAAAAGCGCATCGCACAAACTATCGCTGACTCTACCGCTGATTGGGAGAAAGCTTGTGTATGTCTTTATCTTCTTCGCAGGTCTACAAAGTATTAAATGGTCAATGAACATAGCTTGCTGCGGGTGGCGCGGGCAAATGCAACCCAATTTCACAGACGGCATTCACGAGCTTGCTCGCTGCAGGAGGCAACTGTGACCAGCAAGATGCTGCGGATCAGATGATTGACCTTGCGAAGCAGCTGAACAACGACGCAGACATGATCCGCCTTGCGCAGATCTTTGTCCAACAGCCTCGTAACGCTGTAAGCATCAATCACTTCGTTTCCATTGCAATCATTATGCTCAACGGTAGCCATATCTGAATTTATGTAGCCGGACAGTCTTCAAGTCCCTTACTGCCAAACAGCGCCGAAGAACGCGGAGCTCAACGGATTCTTCCACTGCCAGTTCGCCGGCTCTGACTTCACCAAGTTTAGCGGCGACCAGACCGGGAACCTTCCACTCGGATTGAACGCAGTCAACCCTCCCGGCTCTTGCCCTGCAAAGACGGACGGCCCAGTCCCGGATGGTGTACAGCTCAACACGCTGGTTCAGAGCCCAGGAACTCCTGAGGGCGCTAGTGGGTAAGTGATTCATGTACATGAAGAGACACAGCGCGCCTATCTGATTGATATTCTTTCATTTTTTTAAACAAAAGAAGCGCCTCGGGCTCTGGTGGAGCAGGTGCCTCAGGCTCAGGCGCCGGTGCGAGCGATTCAGGTGTAGATGCGAGCACAGCAGTCTCCGGTGCAGATGCAACAGCAACAGCAACTGCCACAGACGCTCCGTCCACAATCGCCGTCGGAGCTGGCAAAGGTGTGTCTGGCGCCTCGAACAATATTCCTGCAACATGCCCAACTAAAGTGGTTAATGGTTCAGGCGCTTCAGGCGCTTCATCGGTGGACTCCGGAGTGGGTGACGCGACTACAGCTGCTCCTGCGGCTGCTTTCTCTCCTGCGACTGGAGCTGGGTCTGCTACTGGATCCGGAGCGGCTCCTGCAGGCACAAAGCCCTTCACACTTCGTACGTATCCTACACAACTTTAACACACGTCATGAGAGCATCTCCAGACTGATGTATTGACTGGAACACCAGAGAATGGTCTTGACGCGCAAAAGGGCAACGCAGCAGCTGCGGACTTGAGTGAGGGCTCTCCTTGCACAGATGGTGAGACCACCTGCGCTGGTACACAAGTTGGTCAATGCGCTGGCGGTAAGCTTGTCACCACTGCCTGCTCTGGTGGCACGCAATGCTTTGTCCTTCCTCTCGTCAACAAGGCCGGTACTGTAAGTTCCCGGCGTCAATTAGATTCTGAGTGTATTCGCTAACTGTTGAATCATTGCAGTCTGCTGCTTGCACGACTGAGGCAGATGCTTCCGCTCGTATTGCGGCTACAGGTGCAACTGGTGGTATCACTGGAGCTTGAAGATCGGTGGGTAATAGGTGTCAGAGTAGCTTAATGACATAACGAAACCATATCTGGGAGTTGGTCGTAACTTATCTCTATCTCTGTTTGCATTTGTTGTCGTTCACATTGTATAAACAACCATATCACCCGAGTGCTCAACTTATTCTTCTACCTTCTCCTTTATGCTACGAAGAGCAGTGGATCACGTATCCGATACATTTTCGTTCTTTGAGTGAGAGAAACAAGAACAGCTAGAATGGGCAACTAACTGTTGTCGACGGCGAAGTCAAAAATATGAGCTGAACAAATCAGCTCGCATTGCCATAAACATCGTTTGGGATGCATTGGCTCAAAGAAATATGTGTAAGTTAGAGAGTTCACATTATTCAATGCATAACTACTTAGAGAGCTTACGGTCCGTTTACGCCAACGCTACATCACTCCACAGATAGTAATACTAAAATCACACCTCTGAATCCACATCCGAACATATTTACATTTTATATTGGGATAAATACTCAAACAATATCTATGCGTTATGATCTCTCCCTCCAACATAGGCACATATGAAATTGAGTCTCCCTACACTAAATCTAATTCTGCCATCTCCAGCAATCTATTTACAGGTTTATGGAAAGAAATGGTGGACTACAATGAATATTGACACACGGGGCAAGCTAGCTCTCAATGTTTGATCGCTTCTTGAATCGAACCTCTAACTCGTGTGACTCCATAAAAGTTCCGTGCATTTGCGCGCAATGGATATCGACGAACGGGACACGGAAGGCTGCTAGTGGAGTATTGCGAGAGTTATCGAAGTAACACTCAATAGATCCTTCCAGTCCGAGCGCGTTACATTGCTTCTCTAGCATATTGCACAGCGGAGTGATGTATACAGTTTTTGCTACTGTATCCCCATACCCTGGGCGAATTTTGGCAACAAACTTCGTGAGTTTGGGGCACAGGATTGAGCTGGTCCTCCGAGGGTGGTCGCTACCACTGGGTGTGTCTTCTACAGAAAGTATGTCGAAAAGGTGCGGGTTGATGATGTGCCCCATGATATCCAGGTGATGATTCTTCAAGTCGGGGAAGCAGCGGAGTAGGGTGGCGATTTCGGCTTCAGTCAAATCCCCATCAGAAATTTCCACGCATTCCAACGCCGGCTGCAACCGTTCAAGCATTGCCAAAACCCCTCCAAAATTTCCGCGTAGAGACCTGCAATTGCAAATTAAGTGTCTCAATGCTGGCAGGGCCAGATTGTTAAGAATATGCATAGACGCTTCAGTATAATCAACGCTGAGAGTGTGCAAGTTAGGCAACGTAATAACTGGGCAGCTAAGCGTATGCGGATTATCCATCACAAGTACATCGGGCGAGGTGAAATAGATCTCCAGCGTTTCCAAATGTGGCACCTTTTGAAGAATTTCTAGTTGAGCTAACTGCCGAGTCTGGGTGCTTTCAATTGCGAGACTGTGGAAAGTCAATTCTATCAGTTTGGATAGTTGCCCGTCGGTAACTTCAATATGAGGAGTTCCTACGCTGCGTAGAGATCTGAGGCCAGTAGAGCAAGACGTGTCGATATGTACAAGTCTCAGGTCAGGACGCGGTAGTAGAGAGCATGGAGACCATTTAACTGAGAATGACTCCAGAACTGGTACGTCAACCAGCTCGACCCTTGGAAGTTGGCAGTGCACTGATATCCTTGCAGATGAATGAAAAATGAGCTGCTCTCCATCGCATCTGGTTCCCTAGCAATTTCGCTAAAACGTACTCCAGCGTACTCAGGCTCGCGTCGTGATTCCGTCCCTCCAGAGTCCAAATACGTGACAGATATATTAAGTGGGTGTTCAACCGACCTTTCGATACAAAGGTCGACAGATTTTGTGGCTTGATCTTTTCGTTCAATTTTGCGGTGCCCATTAATGCAAACATTGAAGTTTGTCCACAGAGACGGAAATGTCATAGCTGTTTCGCGCCACGACCTGCAGACGTGTGTGAGCTTAAGAGGTGCACTCATAGCCTATAGGCCCCCCAGACATGAGTGACTCTGACCACATATGCACAGGTTGCGGGGACACCTGTACAACAAGCAGAAATATCTGGTACAGAATATCAAGAGGCAAAGCAGGTGCAGCGCGCGCCTGAGTTGGGCGGACATTATCATTGGGCTTGGGCCTGAGCAAAAATCCGCGGCGAAACATCTGAAAGTGAGATTCTCTACAAGTTTGGTTAGATATAAGTATAAGGTATCGGTATGAAGAATTCACCTGCCGATTGAGGATTGCTAGTGGGAGCGTCTGGGATGGTGCAGAAAAATCGATGCTGGTGAAGTACGTATCAGTTCAAAGGTCCAGGTGCACCAATTTATAGCTACCATGGCCACTTTCCAAACGCGCGCAGTGTTCTTGTTAAAATGGAAAGGACCACATATTATGGAGATATGTAAGCAAATGCGATGGTCCTGCCTTTGCGCAATGCGCATTCGGGGCCAATGGCAACGTACTCCGTGATACTTTGTGGTGTTGGGTACATATCAGACAAGAGCTAGTAGATTATGCACAATATTGAACGGATCAGGGCAAGTGTTTGACGCAAAAGAGTTGTAGAGTTTGAATGACATATATGTATTGAAGAGATAGAAGACTACCTACGGAGAGAAATAAGCAGAATTTTTTACATACAAGCTAACCCTCAATAGCAAGCAGCTTCTCGAATCGGATGTCCATCCGGGCTTGGTTCGCAAGGGACTCTCGCATCCCCGCGCATCCGATGTCGACGAACGGAATGTCGAAGAGTCGATTTTCAGTGATGCAAACAAGCACTTTATCGGAAGGAGGGTTCTCGTCCAATGAGTCGGGCTTTTCTTCATCGTAAGTATAGTATTCTGAGTAGCATTCAATCGTCCCAGCCCGGCCAAGTGCATGGCATCTCTTTTGGAGCATATTGCACAAGGACTCGACGCTTCTGCTTATCCGTTCGGGAAGGTCGATATACCAGTATCTACAATTTTTGAAACAAAGTTCCTCGAGATTAGGACATAGAATAGAGCCAATGTCCCACGACTCGGCTGTCTCCTTTACGGACAGCATCTCAAGGAGATCAGGCACGAGCAAGACGCCTGCCATACAAAGTGTTTTCAAGCCTGGCATGAGCCGCAGAAACCGGGAGAAATTATCTCCATTTACCACAAACCCAGGAGTCTCGAAATATTCCAAAGCAGGCCGCGACCGTACAAGCATTTCCGAAAACTCTTGGCCATCGGGGTGAAAAGGATTGCAAATTAAGCGTTTCAGCCCCGGTAGGACCAACCTGCTGATTATAAATGCAGAATAACCAAAATCGTCAATCGCAAGAGTATGTAGCCCAGGCAACGTGATAAAGGAGCTCTGTGGATTATCGGATTTGCAATGGACGGCCCTAATATCAAGGACTTGAAGGTTTGGAACGCTCTGTAATATTTCTAGGAGAATCGATTGCCGTATGTCGATCTCTAGGGATGCAGACACGCTGATTAATGTCAATTCCCTCAGATTCGAGAGTCCTCCAGTCATAATGCGAGGGATGCCTACGAGGTGCAAACTCCTCAATCTCGGAGAGCGTGAAATGTCGAGATTCATGTGCGCCATGGCATGGCGCTGAGCTCGACCTTCCCAATAAATAGAGAGAGATTCCAAGAGTGGGACGTCAACAAGACCAAGTTGCGGTAACATCCTAGGATCGCGCCCGATGAAGGTAAAGGACGCGTCTCTCCATCGATTCTGATGATCCAGTACTTTCCTTAGAATATGCGCCGTAATCTCTAATTTCGGCCCCGGAACGTCGTCGGCCTCGTCGATCGGACAACCCCGCATAGCCAAGCAGGAAGCGTCGCACTCAACCCTAAGACGAAGTGGAGATACCCCGGATCGAGAGAGCCAAGTATCGACTGCATTTAGGAACCATTCATCCCTTTGTGTACTGTCGAATTTGTATATGAGAACGGTAATGTCGGTCCATAGGGACGGAAATGACAGGGCAAGGCTGCGCCATAATCTGCTAACTTGGCTGAGGCGCAATGGCGCCAACATAGATTCCTCGGGCGGAATATCCTTTGGATAGTCAACACGAAACCACAAGTTCCTCATAGACTCCTCAAACGGAACATCCCTCCGCGACATTTGTAGAACACACTCGAAGATATCCATGAGAATCTCATTTGGTACGTGGTCAATACCGTCAATTGTAATTTTGCCACCCGGCTGTCCATGACGATGACCCTTCGGAGGATCAGGAGAGGAAGACATTTGGCAGTAGTATCTGTCTGAGTATAATGTTAGACGTTGGTATAAATATAATATGACGAGGGCGAACTTGCTGATTGAAGATGGATGGTTCGATTGGGTCGGTCGGTGTAGGGAATCACTGTCGGTGCACAAGTAGTAACGTTCGAGAACTGTAGAACTGGGCACGCAAATTTATAGCCGCCATGGCCACTTCCTAGCCACGCAGACCGCTCCTATCAAAAAAAAATAGAAAGAACCACATTTTATGGGCCATGCAAACCATGCGATGGTCCGAGTCTTGCGCACTTTGGTCCAACGGCCAAATGTTTGATGCACCGTAACGGATCTCTAATGCTGTAAACCCTGTATCTATTATGCACCGAATATTCCACTTGACTTGTCTAATACCACATCTATCAGCTCTTACCCGAGAGTTTGGACAAGTTATAGCGTAAGACCAGCAACGAAATAGGTCCATGTTCATGCTTCCTTTATTAGGCTAGCGAATCCTATTACTAATCAGTCATGTGCCTTGTCAGCGAAGGTACCGTAACTTATGATGTGAATATATTTGTTTATTATATTCTAATGTGTCTGCTGTGTTATACACAGTCACGTACAGTATATCAACACGTCTTCACCCTCTGCAAGAAAACCTGGGCTATGTATACTTTCGAATGTTCCCAGCAGGTGCAATCGGAACTTCGGAAGGGCCATCGAGCTGCTGACTATGTGGCCATTGGCCCAAAGTGCGTGGAAATTGGAACTGGGGCCATTTTTCTGGGCTGGAGTCAGCGCCTGACTTGCACACTTTAAGAATATTACTATGTCGTTCTTTTCATTAAGACAGGAGCGTCAAATGTGGTCGCTCAGGCAGTACTAGAGGCCACGGCAGGGATAAATAGTGGTCCTGCAACTCCAATCAATCTGTAAACCTCGTCAATCTACTTGTCCTTTCCACCAATATCTATGTGTTCTGTCCATCTATCTTCTCTCATAGATTCGTAAGTGTCGTTCTCATACCGATCTACACTTCCATCTCACACGCCACACGCAGACACAGTATTATCAAATGACTAGCACAATCGGCTGTGTGCCTCTCGATATTCTCCAGGAGATATTCCGTAATTCTGTGCAGATATCTCGACGGGACGCATGGAATGAAGAATCTCTCGTTACGTCTTGGAAAGCACCAATGTCAGTGCCGTTGTGCCTGTCACAAGTTTGCTGGCTATGGCGAGAAGTAGCCCTGACATGTCCGTCTTTATGGACAGACATCACCGTAATCGTTGATGGAACTTCCGATAGAGAACGAGACCAACGACTCGTAGAAGCTTTTGACTCTTTGGTCAGAAGGTCAAGAAGTTTGCCGCTCAATCTCTCCGTTACGTGCAATACATACGGCCTTTCAGAACAGGAACTCGATACTGCGGCATACGTCCTAAGGAGATTGCTCTATGAGCAACTAGGGATCCGCACGTACCGTATACAGGTACGACCGTACTCTGTACGGGTCGGTACGTGGTACGGTCGTAATAGTACGACCGTATTTTGCCTTCCAGGACACACATACGGCGACGGTGCGTACCGTATACAGCCGTAAACAGTAATACGCTTGTAAATACAAATTTAATATTATATTAATAAAAAGAAAACAAATTACCATGTTTTAAATCGTGAAAAAAACCTATTATTATTTTATTTGTGCTTCTGCCTTGAATTAGCACTTGTTATACCCATTTTCATTAATATATGTAGTAAATCTTAAATTTAGTTTGTATAAAGTAATAATAAAAAGTCACATGACTAGCTATTTTGAGAAAATAAATAATCTAATATTATTATTTTAACCCTAAGATTAGCTTTATTTAGAATTAGCATGCATAAAATGTTTATTATAGGGTATACAAAGAAAATAAATTATTACAAATTATACTACATATGTTATTGACACTGAAAATCTTCTTCAAATGTCCGTACCTGTATACAGCTGTATACTGCCGTATTTGGCCTACTCCTATACGGGATACGGCCCGTTTTGTACGAGCCGTATTTGTCACCTCAAAACCGAGTACAGAATCTACAGATTGTACCATGACCATTGACCAATACGGGTCGTAACCGTACTATACGGTACAATGCGGATCCCTATGAGCAACATCGCTGGAAAGAGGCCGATTTAATTTTCATAGAGAGGGATCCTACTAGACTGCCACCATTCTACCTTATCCACGTCCCTCTCTTATGTAGAGACACTAACCCTCCACTGGAGGAAAGCAGATCATTGTAAATTGAGACAAGTCAACGTTGGAATTTTGTGTTCTCCGAACCTGGGCACTCTGCATATCAAAGGGATCCCTTGTATCGAAACTAGGGAACTATCCGGCCTGATAGATCTGAGTTTACGTGGTCTTGCGTTCGAAATCTCACCACGCGTTCTTCTAGACATGCTTTGAAGCATGCCAAATCTAGAATCCCTGGAGGCAAGGTTCTTGAAGGGCGAGCTGGATGAGTCTAACGATAGGCAACCTTACTTAGCTTTAGATAAACTACGCACCTTATTAGTCGACGATACAGAGGCTTCCACATACACAATCAGCAAATTGATCCTACCACTGGCAGCACTAAAATGCCTTATCCGAGTCTGCCGTCCCTATCCATACAACAGTTTCGGAAGACTTTTACTTATGCTCAACCATTCCAAACCGCCCTTGGAGCATTTAGAAATCTCCGATTATGACTTCACCAACAGAAGGCTTGACAACCTCCTTCGACTCTTCCCAGAGTTGAAAACTCTTTATATGGTTCGATTCGGTATCACATGCAGCTTCTTTGACAAGTTGTGCACAACATACGTAGACAACATCTTCATGGACAAGATTCAAGAACAATTCGTTCTATGTCCCAAGCTGAGAACACTTCATTTCAAGGATCTCAGATGGATAATGAGAGTGGATTATTGCCTTACTTTGTTACTGTAAGTTATATGATTATGAAACATTGTGCATTACTTGGACTGGCAGGAACTCTCAAATGTCAATCTAAAGAGGTTAATGCTGATGGGTATTGTGAAGTCTTGCATTTCAATGTCCCACCTGATGATGGTTATTGGGACAGATACAGGATCCTATTGAGGAGGCGGGCAGGTTGGAGATTCGATTCGAGCCTGTTGATAGTTAAGGATTACTTTGTATTGAAATTAATAGTAAAGTCATTCCTGCTGCACAATTTGGCTATTATACAGTGTCTTCTGACATTGCGAAAGATGAGCTTCAACCTGGATGTATACTAGTGATGCCAACCGTGAAGTAAAACAGTCCCAGTGCGAGTGGATTGCAAACCTCCATTCCTGCAAATATTTCTTACCAGGTAGTATTAACCAAAATGATCGAGAGACAAGCAAGTATATACACTCTAGAAAAATCGAGATTGACAAGAAGCAACAACAACAACAAAGATACGCATGTACAATTACTTCAAAACAAAACAATCTTCAATCTTCAATCTTCAATCCAAATCAACATCAATCAGAAGTAGGTAAATCAACAGATAAACAAGCAACTTCCATACAGATCGAAAGCAAATTCAACAAGCAAACAAGCAAACAAGCAAACAAGCAAACAAGCAAACAAGCAAACAAGCAAACAAGCAGTAAGCTAGTGATGAGAACGACACCTACAGCAGATAGCCAATAGCCAATAGCCAATAGCCGATAGCAAAGAAAACACTGAACTAGCAGGACGCTAATAAAAGCAAGGTAGCAATCCAATAGTATATATACATTGTTCTAGTCGAGAGAAGGGGAGAAGGCTGTTTTGGTGATGTGTGAGGAGTAAGTCATGCAAGTATAGATAGGATAGGGGAGAGGATGAGGAGAGATATAGAGATAGAGGTAGTAGATGGTAGATGAAGAGAGGGAAGGAGCGAGGAAACTTGCATGTTAAAGTTAGCCTAGAGATGATCTACCCAAGAGATAAACGAATGGATTGAGAGAGATAGGGAGATTCAGAGAGAGAGATGAGCGAGCGAGGAGAGAAAAGATTGGTAATAATGAAAGATAGAGAGAGTAGACGAAAAAATGAGATTAAGAGTGAGCAAACGGAAGGATAAAAGAGTGGAGTCCGATCTCAGTCACCAAGACAGACGGATAGGTGGATAGATCGATAGCTTTTTTGTTTGATGTATGATACAGAGCTAGGAGATGAGTGTTGAGTGTAACTCGTCAGTGTGTGTGCGAGAGCGAATAAAGCGTTCCAATACGTTTCGAGGAGTCAGGGCGAGGCGTGTCAGCGGACATTTATAAATAAAACAACGGAATATCGGCTCTGTGATAAGTTGCACCTATACAAGCGACTTAACCAATAACCCCTCAAGCCTCACAAACTCCGGAACGATACTCGCATACGCCATGAACGCATCCACGTCAGGTTCCGCCACTTTCGTCCAACCCAATTGCGCTTCTGCGTCTCCGGTTGGTAAGGCTCCTACAGGTGTTAAAGGTGTGATCCCAGTCGGGGCTGGTGGTGCTCCTCCTGCACCAGTCCCTCCTGCTCCTACTCCTGAAGAGTTAAGTGGGTTGTTCGGATCGATAGATGAGGGGGTGAGCGTCCCAGGTGAAGCACCTGAAGCCCCCGCTCCTAACCCCGATCCCGGTCCGCCGCCAAACCCACTTGACATAGGTCCAGTAGGACTAGCAATACCATAAGACCCCACATCCGGAGACGTCAACGCCGTAAACGTCGTACTACCCCCCGCACTCACAGCAGGACTCATACTCAACGCAGAATTCACACCAGCGCTATTCGTAGTCGCCAGAGAGGAAGAACCCGTTGCGGTCCGTACGCGCGGTGGTGGAGTCGTTGCTGACATCCCGTACATACCCGCACTGCCAGTACCAATACCACTGCTGCTGCTGCTTTGTGTGTTTGTTGTTCCAGAACTTAATCCAGGAGTTCGGTACGCAGAGTCTTCCTCTTCTTCGTCTTCTTCCACAAGTATGTCCGCTCCCAACCCCGCACTTCTCTGATGTTTCAAATACGGTGCGGGTGAATGCGTCCCTGAGCCACTGGACGTATGTTGTTTAGCTCGGAGGTTCCACCTCCTCGCAAGCAATCTCCTCACTTCATCTTCATACGTCCCACCCGAGCTCGAACTCGAACTAGAATTAGCGGCAGACGACCGCTCACGACTCCAAGCCCACCTCGCAACGTACGCCCCTCCCAAAGCCGCTCGGGAAGGATAGCCAGGTGCAGGTGCGTTACGATGTGCAGCTGCAAACTGCGTCATCGGTCCTCCCGTCCCCATCCCAGCAGCAGACCCAGCAGACCCAGGCACAGAAGATACAGACATAGACACGGAAGAACCGGAAGACCCTGAGGGAGCAACAGCATGTGCAGACTCCAATTGCGTTTGCGGGATAAATATCGGTGCGTTGAAGATATCACCTAGAAGGTTAACGATAGACGGGAAGTTCGCCGCTGCTCCCGTAGCTATCACTCTCCTCGGTAACGGAGTAGTCGCGTATGGATCAAACGTAACTCCATTCAATCCCGACCCAAATCCCATTCCAATTCCCGTGCCCGGATTCACGACAGAATTCTGAATGTGAGACTGTGAAGGATGTTGCGGGGTAGCGGTTCCGGGACGACTATACAACGCCGAAGCTCTCATCCTCGCATACCTTATCCTAAACGAAAGAATCTGCGACTCAAGCAAACACCTCGGATTCGCTCTCAAGTCTCTAAACTCGCTCGTCTTGATACCTGTCTCGAACCGGAAGATACCTTTGACGTGTGAGAAGGGGAAGGCTTCGGCTTGGAGGTGCCAGAAGCTGAAGAGTTTGTCGTCCAGCCTACACGAAAAATAAGTTACATATTATGATTAAGTGAGGGTTTGAGAAGGGATTGGAAAGTAAGCCTTACCCGATAGAACCACCTGGAGGAACGATAGCTATAAGCCTATCAAACGCACTCCAGCTCTTCGTATACATATCGCGAACCAGCGCTCTCGGAACGTCACCATTTCTATTTAGCAATCAGTCAAATTTTATTATCAATTAAATTACAGTCCACGAAACGCACCTATTCATCAACGCCGCCACATACCTCCTCTTCTCACCACTATCCTGCGCAGGGTGCGGAATCAGAGAGTAAAGTCTATTCGGTAGGTATTGCGTTGCGGGAGTTAGCATGACGTCCATTGGTCCGAAGGAGAGTACTGCGTCGATGGGGGAGGGACAGAGAGAGAGGTATGTTGAGAGGTAGTCGGATGTGAATGGGAGAATTATCGTTTCTGTCAAACGCAAAAGATTAACCGAGGGAATAATTAAATAACACGAGGGAAAAAAATAATTGAATGAAATTGGTAGAAGAACGCACCAGGACTAAAACCAAACCGATCAACAAAATACTGCGAAATATTCCCAACTTTCCGTCCTCCACCACTCATATCCACCTCCCCAAGCATCACTTTCAACCGTCCAGCATGCTCATACGCACTTGACCCAGCAACAATTTCCAAAACCATTTCATCCCAAGCCCGAGAATGAACACTCCACATCCCCGTAGCACACGCCTCACTCTCACTAGTCGGTGCCCACCCACCCAAAAACAAACTACAAAAAAGCGTACTAGCGAGTGTGAGTCTACCAGTTCTCATCCAGATATCTGGTTGAGTTTCTCGCATACGGAGAGTGTGTGCTGCGAGGAGGGAGGCGTGGGAGGGTGTACCGAGACGTGAGGCTGCTGCGTCTGGACCGCCGAGTGCGTGTTCTAAAGCTAGTGCTTGAGGGAGCGTTGACGTGTCTTGTGCGACGGGTGTGTTGGGGAGAGTGAAGGGATTACCTGCGTTGAAGAGGTGTGAGTGGAGTGAATGTGTTGGGTCGGTGAAGCGGAGGAGAGTTGGTGAGATGGTAGATTTCCACCAGACACATGCGAGCTGCGATGAATTCGGGGAAATAAATTAAGTATGTGGTTATTAGTGGGTTTGTTGGGGACGTACCTGAGCAGACCCGCCAATAGATTTTATTTTCGACAAATCGAAATTACGGTGTAATTTCTGCAACAATAAATCTATATACCGAACAAACCGCCATACATCAGCACCGTATAACACACACAGCATACAAAACTATACGTACCAAGAGCCTGAATCCACATCTCGACAGGTGTAGTATACGCCTCTCCGGGAGTAGTGAAGATGCCTCCATGCGTCCTGTCGCGTCACACAAGCCAACCCGTCAGCATTAGTTCGCACCGCGACGGGGATGACAACAAAACGCACTGGAATTCCGCGAGCTCAGAATCAAAATCCACAACCTCAACGCCGACAAGATCGAGTTGCTCGTCGACAACAGCAGCGCGCAGCTGGTCCGTCGCGAGCTCGAGACCGAGAAAATGTGCGGTTGGAGAACGAGAGGACATGTCTACCTTTGTGTGCTTGTCTAGAGGCTAGGGTCCGTCGCGTCTCGTGTCGTCGTGTCCTTGCAAGTGTTCTCCGTCCTTCTCAGTAGGTGAAATGTCCCAGCTACGCGTTAGTCGAGTCCGTCACCGGAGTCGTTGATGAATTCGTTCGTGGCTTAACCAAGGAAGGAAAAAAAAAGGAGCGGAGAGAATAGAAGAAGAGGAAAATGAATGGGAGACCTTGGGAAACAGTTACGGAACTATTTTTTTCAAGTTGATTACGTATCAAGTCCTTTCTCCTCGGAGCCCTCCTCTCTATTTCCCCCTAGTGCATCCCCAACCACCTTTTCTATATCCCCCTCAGTCTTTACTAGATATTATGTACGGGGCAGGGGTGGCGTGAATTTATAAAATGCTAAATGCTAAACATTCCAGGTCAGGTCCTCTCCATTTTTCCTCGTCTCATTTGAATTAAGTTTTGAATTGCTCCCGCTGGCACAGACCTGAGACGTGTCGATCTTCGTTAGCTCATTATTTTTTATTTCCTTTCCCCCCCTGTCTTTATGCACTTATCCCGTTAGAGCCCAATGCTCCATGAGTCATGGAGTCATGTCATCGTGCCAAGTGCTTGTAGACGTTTCTGAACCTTATTATCGAAGGGAACCTACTTGCGTATTCGCCCATAGTGCCCATGGTGGTAACTAATCAGAATCACTATTGCTATGCCCAGACGTGCAGGTGCCCATTCTGGATCTCACAAGAACAACAGTAACAAATGTATTCTAAATAAAATCTGTTCAGAAAGGAGTCAGAAACAAGTAACAAGGAGTACAGACTCTCAGCTATATTATTTGTATTCACTACCAAACTCTGCAAATTTTACAAATATGTGTGATAAGTTTGTCAGTAGCAGGAGAAAATGAAGAACATTTTACATGAATACAAGGTCTGAATTCTACATACACAGTAGCAGTTGAACAGACAAGAAGCAGGAGAAGTTTATATCATTTGTCTCTTTCAGGGATAAATATCATAATATACTACACCCCACCAAAGCTATACCAGTGGGTATCAAACAAAAGATTGCAAACGAAGAGAAGAAAATCACAAGAATAAAGAGACAAGATGAGTATGCAATAATATACAAAGGGTCCAAGAAGAAAAGGCACTAAAAGTAGTGCCAAAGATATATTATATATATAAGAAACCGTGCTTTCAAAAAATCAACAGTCCAGATACGAGCGGTATATGGGTATACCAGTCAGTCTACATACAGCGAACGTTTTAAGTTAAGATAGTCCCAGCACCTCTTCACCTCTTCACCGCAAAAAACGTCCTCTTTCGGCCGATATTTCAACAAATGGCAAATGGGTATCGGTATCGCTTACCCCCAACAGCCAAACAGCCAGCGTCAATCTATATCATATATCAATTAAATCCGATCTGGTCGACACCTTCCGCACACAGCCCGCAACTGATGCATTCCAAGCACGCTGTAAGAGAAGAAGTACATTTGTCAGCAAGTCGTGGAAAAACAAGACGACGGTAAGACGGCAATAGAGTAAATGATGGTGGCGGTTAAAAGATATGTATGAGATGTATGAGGTGGGAACGCCAAGATGGCACGGTAAAGACGCCGTCAAGAGACAAGATGCAAAAGGTTGATGGAGACGGACATGCCGAAGCACGGAAGCAAGTGAAAAACCATTTGCCGAACCGAGTGCACAGCAAAAAAAAAAAGGAGGCAGGGAAGCCGTGCCAAGGGAAAAACTGGGATCCGGAAAGGAGAGAGATACTCACCGAGTCCACCGCAACAAGCGCACAGGTAACAAGGACAGCACAGCGGGTTATTAAAGGCGCCTCTACAGCACCATGCAGCGAGCATGATGGCGAGTATGAGACATACGAATAACCCAACGAGTACCACTATCAGATATACTAGTTGACACAAATATTATCGAAGTTAGGAATCCGTGGATTTCGGGAATAGAGGAAGGAGGGTGGACGTACGCTTGTTCTTCACGAAAACACCCTGTTGGTCATTATTCGAGCTTCCATTCGACTGACGTTTACCCAACGCCATCTCCGCACCATCACCCATCATCCCAAGTACGCTTTCCCACCCACACGAATACACGAAACTCGCAGCAGCAAGCAACAACAGTACGCCCGCACTAGCCAGTAAGAAATGGATTAGACAGCGACGTCTACGAGCATGGCATGCATTATGCGAAGAATTCTGAGTTTCGCACTCGCTTTGAGATTGACATTGACAGTGGCGATGAGTATGGTCATGGTTTGGGATGTGCTCTTTCGACGAAGAGTAGGGAGAATAAACGTCCATGGATTCCTGAGGGAGCGGCTGGTAGATCGCAGCTTTGAAAGGCATATTCGCAAAAGTCACAGAAGCCATTATTATCCCCTTAATGCCTTTAAAATAAGCCAAAAGCCCAAGTAAAATGACAAGGCAGAGGTAGGAGGAGGAGGAGTTGTTTAGGGATGTGGCGGAGGGTAGAATGATGGTCCAGCTATAAAATATGTACCCGTAATAGAGTACGAGTGGAAACTCCCGAGAGCCTGTAGGAAACTAGTTTTCCACAGGTCATTTTGCTGGGCCTCTGGAGGCGTGGTAAACCTCGCGTGGACAACACTTAGTCAGTATATTAGTAATATCATTATAATGTTCCAAAAAGGTAATTTTTAAGAATTTTGTGCTGTACCTCTATTGAGCTGAAAATTTAGGTGTAATATTAATTTCAGACGTTGGTTATACTGCTGAGAGCAATTATATTGTGTTTTATAGTCTACCAGTGTTGAAACCTACATAATAAAGAGATATATCTAAGAGAAATAAAAAGAAAGAGGCAACCAGTTACATTGATCAGGCTTTATTACTGTTCAAAATTTGTAAATCATCCAAAGAGGTACTGGAAATATTGTCCACATCTATCACTTGTACCTCTCTAATTTTATCAGAGTGTACTCCTTTCAATGAAGGAGTATCTGAAA